ATATCAATGAGTGATATTACTGGTATCAGCATCAACGACATTCAATTTAGAAGTCATGAACACTGATGTAAGAGTTACCAGTTTACGCTTTGCTAAGCACCATTTATACATAGAATAATAGACAAGCATAGCATAGTTATTAGAACCTGCTACATGTGAGATACAAAAGTCCAGTTAATTAGCATATTACCATTTACTACTGTCCAATAGACAGGTATCAAAACAGTAACCAGTTCAGATACAGAACATAAGATGATGATTTGATGTATCTATCTCTATGTTTAAAGTATGCTAATATTTTACCAGTTATTATATGACCATGGAGACTACATGTTCAAAGACAGTGAATTCATACTAAAGCAGTTAATCAAACAGCTGCTTAAATAACTTGGCACTCGGAACAGCACACTCACAAATAAACCAAAGATAAGAATGTAATACAAGCATAATATGCAAGGTTGACATCCAATGTGAAAAACTGGACACTACTGAAGATAACAAAGGCTGGCTTCAATACAAGATGGATTTGGATATGATTGGTATTTGATCAAGCACCGAATTTCAAAGCAAACCACATAGAAGTATTTGAGACAGGTTTTTCTTTTTGCACAATATAAGAAAATGAGCTGATTACTCATTCAGATCAAATTGATTTGAAGGGGCTTCGTTAAGCATTTCAGATATTTGGGCTAATTAACCTATTTATTTTCTTTAGTTAAACTACTAGAACCAATTTGGTGACTCCATTCATTGTCAATTATGATGATATGTCATTTATCCAGCATCACAGAAAACATTAAATTAAATCAAAAGAACTTAAAATTTTATTCTCGCCTTTAGAAGTCAATCTTAAAATGAAAAATGATTTAGAATTTACGGTTTTGTTGTTGTCGTCGTCATCGTGATATATGCTTTAAAAAAGGAACAACAAAATACATATAATTCGATCAAGGCTCTTGATTGTTTTTCTCAAATATTAATATATTTGCTATTTTGTTTCTATACCAGCGTAAATTAGGCAAAAAGTAAACAAAATCGAACCCGAATCCGAGCGGTTTGTTCCTGGCCGCTCTCCAGGAGCTGAGCCAAATCCCGCCGCATCTGCCTCACCGAGGCCTCCCTCTTGTTCTTGAGCAGCTTCATCCGCGACACCGCGAGCTTCAGCGACGTCTTGCTGCCGCCCGATCCAAACCATAACAAAACGAAACCGATCAACCCCCATCGTCAGCCGAATATCCAAGATCAGAGAAACCAAACAACAATAGCGCTTCAACCAAGGATCAACATGCGGAGCTCACCATTTCACCGGCTTGAAGCTCCTGGGGAGCAGCTCCGAGATCTTCGACTTGGCGTGCATCCTCCACCCGCCGAATTCGATTTGGCGCAGAGATCGAGGATTATCCGGCAGGCCGATACGGATCGAAAACCTAATCGATCTATCGCAACGTGGAGGGGCGATCGGATGCAACCTCCCTCGCTCTGACGACCTCACCCCTCGCGTGCCCGAGAGGGGAAGATAATACCGGACGAGCAAATCTTCCTCCGATTTCTATTCGGTGTGACGTAACTGTCCCTCGACGCACAAAAGGGGAGGCGCGTCTTCTTGTTGTTGGACGGGGTATTCCTGGGAATGAAGAGACCAACCGTGTTCTTATCTACGCGACGCGAATAAGCCGTCGGATCAGGATCCGACGGATACAAATCCATTGCAAGATTGGGAGTGGAAGTGACGCGTTCTTCCCCATCGTGTTTGGCGGGCTCGTCGAAGAGTTGAGGAAGGTACGGGCGACGACTATTGGGGCAGTGGATTCCGGGTCAACGAGGTCCGATGGGCGGGTGGTGACCAATTAATGGTGGGCTCCACAACGTCGATGGGGCGGAAGGTTCGATTGTTGCCGCTTGTGGAAGATGCTCATTGAATCTTCCGCTTGTTTTCTTTACGGAGGAAACATTAGACTCTGTGACGTAAGCATTCAAAAAAAAAAATCACATGGTAAATATTTTTTATATAAAAATAATCAAAGTAAAAGACTGTTTTATTCTACAGGAATAAATAATTTTACCATATGAGTAATAGTCATAGGAATAGATTGGTTTACCACTGAACTGTAACTATAATAATAAATGATTTCATCTTGTGGTCAACAAATGTAGCATTAGATATTTATAGTATGCATTCAATAACTTGCTATGGTAGAGTTTTCATAGCTTGCAGAAAGAAACCAATACTGGACTTTCATCAACTATATCAATTACATCCAAAAAAATATATGTATATAATCTTAAATATTTAAGTATTTTCCAAGAAGAGTGATTAATTTTATATGAGATTGTTGTAACAGGAATAGATATAAGTTAATGCAACAAGTACTAGAATCATGGTTATTAGTTGCTTATGTATATTATATGGTTGATTTTGCTGAATAAGGCTTCCGGTCAAAGGATCTGCTGCCAATTTTGACCGATCCGATCCGGCCCAATCTGATTTATTTCCATGTATTAATTGGTCCACGATTGAAGGCTTTGACAGTTGCCTTTTGCTTTCCTAATTCTTCATAGAATATATATACATATTTGGGCGATTTTTTGTTTAAAAAATTATATATTATGGATATTTGTTAATCAGTATATCTTATTTTATTTTTTTTAATAATATATTTAATTTAAAAAATACCTAAATATATTTATTTTAGTCTGTTATAATGTTTTGACTACCACAGTAAAAACACTATAAAATCAATTTAAAATATTATAAATGACTTCTAATCTCAACTGAACTAATGAGACTAAAAACATTACATTGTAATAGTCTATATAAGCAATGACAATATAAAAGATACAATATGACATCATTCACAATGATAAAAAGTTGACCAAAAAATACTTTTGAGGGGTATTTTGAGTATTTTTAAATTAAAAAGTATTGTTTGAGAAAAAAATAAAAAATATATTTTTGAGAAATACCTAAAATATGAATGTTTTTAATAGAAAAATCATCCTATATATTTATTAAAATATTTTATCATGGTTACAGTGAGTGAAAAAAAATAAATATTTAGTAGCCTCAAATATTCCTTTTAATTTAACAAAGCATATTATTTCTCATTCATTAAATTCAAATCAAATGAAAAGAGATAAGTAGGAAGAGTAGTGATAATTTTCAACACTGTTAATGTCGATTAAAATTTCAATGTGTCGATAATCGACCGATAGACCACCAATATATTATAAATATACATACATGAGAAACTAAAATTGAGAAAATCAAGTACAAAAATCATGAAAGGATAATTCATCATCTCCATTTAATTCTTCTGATTCATTCCATGCTTAATAATACCGACCTTTCTGCTTGTTTACATTCACCACAGAGGTCTGTACTATCCGATTCAGAGATGCTGATGATGTCAAAAAGCCTTGGGGATAAGATCAAGCGTAGTGTCTGTTCTTGTCGTTTCAATACAGGAAACGTGGGTCATCGATCAACCGCAAACCTATCAAAGCATTAGAAGATACTTTTATGATTTTGAAGGACCACACAGATGCAGCAAACTCAATCTGAGAAAGGGAAAAGGACAATGAAATCACAACATGTCACAATGAGAATTCAGATACTTGATCTATAAAAAGTGACCCAAATATACAGCTATACCACCAAACTGGGAGTACCCTCTTAATCCTTCTTTCATGTTAAAGGGTTTCTCTTTCTTGCAAATCGAGTACCCAATTATGCCAAAGTTCTGCTATCCCATCAGTTCTATGTTGGCTCACATATATGTTTGGAGACCACAAAAGATTATTATTTCTATTTGCATGTGAAAGAAAAGATGAGCCAAGTAAATGATCTCATACCCACAGCTTCTTGTTGCCCTGAAACAGCAGCACTCCTGTAATGGCAAAGAAACAGGAACCATGTGCTTCTTATGTTGTATTAGAAGCTTGGCTGGGAGGCCCAGGCTCATCCACACAGTCAACATGATGAAAACACAGTGGGCCACCAAGAAGCATGTCCTGTTCTATTGTCACATGCCAAACATATCAATTGAAATGGAATCCAGAAAAAATAATGCATATTAAATGAATTCCACAAGTTCATGATGACTAAAAGATATTTTTGCATCTGAAGTGTCATTGGTGCAAATCCTCAACTTAATCTGACATCAAAAGGAAGCCACATATGACTTCAAGCAGTGCAAGCATTGGTCCAATGTCATGATCACAGCCAAACCCAATTCACAACAAACAAAACCTCAACAAAAAGCAAGTGATGCTGTGACACAAGAAAAACATGGGCAGCTGCTTTTTAACAACATAGATAAGGATCAGCCACCAAAAGCTATCCACTAAAAACAGCATCAAAGTTCTGAATCACATGAAAAAATCCATTGCGAAGCAAAAAAAAACAAGGAATTAGTGCATATGGCTTCAGTAGGAAACATAAAATATAAATTTCCAGAACAGAGGAAATTTTGTTCATGGAATCAATAACCAGCCTTCTAATGAGATGGTAGCATCATATTCAGCTCAGAAAACCTGCAACGTCAAAGATTAGCCAGGTGTTTTCTTTTTTAATGATTCTGAACCTGAAACAAAAGCTTGTGTTACCTTTTTTTAATTGTTCTAAAGTGGTCGAGTGTCACCAACATATCCACCAATACCAAGTGAATATATTCTCTTTCTCAAGAATCGTCATCTAGCACCAGAAGTTACCTCTGAAAAGAAGGCCACAACCATGGACACCATGCAGAAATTTAACAGGCCTATATTATCCACTGCTTTTTCTTGATAAGATACTTGGGCACTCCTTTTCCATCAGCATTGCAGCTAGATCCCTTGGCATAAAATATAAAGTCACAGGAATAGAATGCCAATTCGACATCAGGGTTTTGCATAGATAGATGATGGAACAAAGTTTCAACCAAAAGTGTGAAGCTCTATGCCATCCATCCTATCTTGCAGTAAATCAAACACCTACTCCAAGAAGGCGGCTGCAGGCATCAGAAAATAATTCAGTGTCATTCGAAAATTAAATGAACTTGGATAGAGAATTTAGAATCCTAAAAAGCTCGGTTTGCAACAGCCAAGAAGAAGAACGAGGCCACAACAAGTAGAGGAGTGTATCCATATAGGTCAATAAAATTTTACTCCAGAGCTGCTCTTCCGCAGACATAGAAAGGTCATGGAGGATACCAAGTTCAACTCCTCTTTAGAACTGCTGCAAGCGGCGGCTAGAGAACATAAGGAGTCAAGCAATCGAAGATGTGATCTGACTGACTATGACTGGGGGAGGAAAAGAAGAGATCGATGAATGCAAGTTAAAGATGGCTATGCTTGATTACTAGCTTATGCAACTCTTGGCAAATATGGTGAGTGCGCTTACAGATTATAGCTTTGTTGAATACTGGTACAAGTATAAACATCCACAATGTTCCATTGCTGCAACGTCTTCCACTGGCTGTCGGCGGTTATGTGGCGTTCAACTCCTGCGTAAGAGCGGCAATTAGCTTCTCCTTGGTGGGCTGCTCTGCGCCCGGCGATTTCACTACAAACGTGTGCAGGACACTGTCGCTGTTTGCAGCAACCTTCGAGTCCACCACATCGATCTGCAGGTCCTTGAGAGCTTGGATGACTTTGGAGACGGGGTGCACGTCGAGCGGGCAGCTCATGCGAACGATAACCTCGTCCTGTGCTGCCTCGACATCGATCTCAGGATGCATGTAAGCCCGGCGCTTGCGGTCCATGAATGACGGGTCGCCCCACATCTCCCTCTCCGCCTCCATCTCCTTGAGCTTGTTCTGGAGCTCGGTGATGTAGGATATGGCATCGCCGAGCAGGGAGGCCTTGTCCATCTTGGAGATATTGGGCACCACCGAGCGTAGGGCGTAGAACCTCTGGTTGAGCTTCTCCCTCCTCTGGCGCTCGGCTTCCACATGGTTGAGAGGCTCTTCCCGGCCGTTTGCGGGCTTCCGGCCCCTCTTCCTTGGCTTCCGCTCCTCCATCGTACCTGGTTTATCCTCTTTGCACGGGGCTTCGACATCCGAGAGCTCCGTGTCCACCGCTCCCAAACGACCGACCGAGACGCCAACAGAAGCAGAATTAGCCTCCCCTGTGCTGAAATCGATTTGCCCCGACTGTGGCAGCGGATGCGGCATCGGTTGCTGGCGACGCGGTTGCGGCGCAGGCGGCGGCGGCTTCTGAGGCTGGGATTGGTTCTTCCGGAGGTCTTGACCGACAACCCCGCTAATATGCCGACCATGTGGTGGTGCGCCATTGCCAAGCTTCTGCTGGTGAGAGGTCGCGATGCGACTCTGATTCCATTGGAGCACCGTCGCACCATTGGTGGGCGGGATATTTTGATGGTGATCTCCATGCTTCGTGATCAACTCCGATGGCCTCTGTTCCGGCTTCACGATCAAAGCCCTGGCCCTCTCGTTGAGCTGAGCGTGCCCAAGGCGCAAGTCCCTCCCAAAGATCTTTGGATACTCCGCGACGTGGCCGCCGACCCCGAAACGGGAAGCCGAAACAGCGCCGTGGTTCTCACCTATCTTCTCCCCGGCCGCCAGCGCCGCCGCCGCCTTATTACGGCCTTGACCGAACACCGACCTAATCGTGTGCAGCGCTTCGAAGCTCTCCGGCACCGGATCCATCGAACCCAGTTCAAGCACTCCGGTGTCGAACGGCACGAAGAGGATCGTCCGGAACCCCGCCGACCTCGCAAGAAACGTCCGGACGCAGTAACTGGAGCACACCGGCGAGTTCAGCCCCGCCTCCGAGATCCATATGTGCTTTCCCGACGCAAGCGCCTTCCCCGGGGCGTCCTCCCCTTTGGGGAACGAGAAGTACATGGACGCCAGGAAGTACATCTCCGCGTCGGTGATGCGGTCGAGCCGGAGCGCATAGTTCTCGTCGGCGGAGCCGCCGGCGAGCGTGTGGAGCTTCTCGAGCACCCGCTTCCGCATCTTCTGGTTGGCGCCGTCGAGGGGGAGGCGCTGGATGCCGCCCTCCTCCTCTCCGTCACTGAGTTCGCGGCAGTGGCCATCGCCCCAGCCGAGGACAAGGTCACCGGACCCGGACCGGGAGATCTGCCAGAAGATGGCGTAGGCCCAGGCGGAGACGGAAGAGCAGGATGAGGAAGTGCCCTCGACGAGGTCCTGGAGCTTCGTCTGGAGGTCGGCGTCCCCGCCCCCAACGGCGGTGAGGTGGCCATCGGACAAGGACGTATGCAGAGCGTTGAGGTAGTCGAAGGCCTGGTGGCCAAGCACAGCCACCGCCACCTGCCGGTCCTCGTCGGACCAAAACGAGCCCATCCCCGTGCCAATCCCCTGCAACTCAACTCGCGCCCACTCCCACGGATTCAGAAATCTCGCAAGATCTCATGCACCATTCCTCATCCAGGCCTCGTCCTCAACACCGCAATTGAGATCGTGCGAACACAACTACCAACAAGGGATTCATCCCGCAACTCTCCGATTCCAATCACCGAAAGCAAAAGAGGGGAGCCTGCAAGTGGAGTCACGACGAAGATGGGGAGAGAGGAAAGAGGTAGATGTGATGGGGAAACGAGCCCTACCCTCTTCGGAAGGCGAATACAGGGACCCCCCAGGGGGCGGACTCGTTAAAGTACACGTGGTCAAGCCCGTTACCTTGCGATTCGTGATGCAAGTTTGTCCCCCAGAGGTTATATAAACGTGGATCACCGAAGCCGAGCCGCGCCGAGCCGAGCCGAAGCCAACTCACCGGCTAGAGAATGATCGTTACAATGAAAGAGTTGGGTCCAGTGGAGCGTGGACCGACAGATGAGTCACGTGGTGGGGGTAGAAACTAAACAGAAGGACCTGCGGTCGACATCAAGGTGGGCAGGAAGACTAGACGACATGTGTTGGTTTGGTGCACTCCAATGGAGCCGATCTAATAAGCCAGCTCAACTTGGAATCACATGCCAATTTTGCCGGGTGAGGTAAGCCAAGGACTCGTCCTTCTTCAACAGATGTTGGCGTCAACACATCCGTCTCTCAACACACATCCATCTACGCATACGTGGAACCGATTACCCTGCACCGTTTTGTACGGTGAAAGCGATGTCGTGTTCATCTTTTCCTCTCCCTTGACCACGTGAAACAAGTTATTCGTCTGAGGCCGTCGTCCGACCCGTCCGGCACCCGCAAGTATCACGGGTCGTCTGGTGGGACCCGTGGCCACGGATGGTGCACAGAATGGGTACAACGCACCACTGGCCTCCCACTAATTCTGCGTTGTTTTTTGTACTGGAGATCGGACGGCGGAATCATCGGCGGCACGAATCACGAGATGCTTTGCCTTCTTTCACGTGAAATCTGTGCTCCCACCTCGTAGAGCCACAGCCCGCCGAGGCGAGGCTGTATCTGGACCGTCCAATCTCTCGCAGTCATCAGAGACACGTGAGAGGGTTAGGCGTCCACGTGACGACAGGCGTAACGCAAGCGTCATCCCGGTTGACCGTAGGCGGCGTTGGAGTGGATGGCAAGTCACGTACTCTTCACCCCTCTCCGTCTCCGTTCCGTCGGCATATATATATATATATATATCAGTTAGGCAACAATGAATCATCGGCAAGTTTCAAAACAGGCATTAATTCTTCACGTTATACTTACCAGTTAGGCAGAGTAATGTTGATGGAAGGATACTGGAATCTATTCTATTTCAATCGATGCATTCCATGATCTAATTATTTTGTGATTATGAACATGGGTACCAGCATCCAAATAGGATCGGGGGATATATATATATAAATATGTTCTTAATCAATCCTATAAATAATTTTCGTGCTCCAATATTAAAATTCTTGGCAGAAAGAGTGAAATCAATCAAGGCGGAGATTTGCATCGTGATCAGTGCCGTCGCGTGATGTTTGGAATGCTTCAATGTCAATGCAACGCTGAGTTGACCGGAAACATGAGTTTAACGCGACATTATATGGTGTGCCGCATGATGGTGGCACGTAGGAAACCACATAATGTTTCTTTCCATCAGGAGTCAATACCTTAAAAGATTCTTGAGTTGACCTATTCTATATATTGTGTTTTTATTGGACAGAAAAAGAATCAGAGACGTTTTAGATGCATTCAGATTGGTTAGCAGTCATTTAAGACTTAAATTGTTGTCAGAATATTTTAGGTGCAAGTCAAATGCAACATGCAATACAGCAGAATGGTCGTAATCAATCGAAAACAAATCAGGAGTTGAAATAGGGTTTTATGAAGCAACTCCTTTCAATTAACCTATCTTCTATGATACAAAGAAAAAAAGCTTCCTACCTCATGAGCTGGTCTAATAAAGATGAGATTTAATTAAATCTTTATCAAACTAGTTGACATATATAGATTGAGGGTTTTGAAAATATGGCAAATAAAGATTATTAATGAAAGAAAATCTAGCAAGATTTGCAAGAGAAAAGATAGTGAAAAATATAAAACATAAAAAAATCAGATAAATGATGGAATATAGTAAGTAAGAGGAAACATTTGTCAAACCACAATCTAAGAGATCTCAAGGAAAATGACAAGTCAGAAAATAATTATTCACTTAGAAGATGTCTTTCAAGTTTTTCAACCACAGGATATTAGCATCTCTTACTTTTTAGACTTGGCATTGACTTTGAGTGCCATGCCATGCCATGTGTGCAACGTTGTTGAGAAGATTAACACAAGTTGAAAGCGTCGAGAGGAGTAAGAGACCGAGCACAGCTTCTGCTATTAAGTAAGGTCTTCTAGTCTGTATGTTGATCATTATCTTGTTACTGACAGAATGAACCGAATCCAAACCAAGGCAAAAGCTTTAGCCTCTTGATGTTTGAGTTATCTTGTGGCTTGTGCAAGGTAAAAGGAGAGATAAGATACACACCATCCATGAAGCTTGCAGAGTTCCCCAAGGTTACACACGTTTCAAAAGGAAGAACAAACGTGATTCACGAGAGAGCATTTGAGGTCGTGATCTTTTCAGGTTCAACATCGTGATGGTGGAAACCAGCTGATCATGTTTCTTCTTATATGTTATGCGTTGATTGCTTCCTGGGTGACGAGGAGGAGGAGGAGGAGAAGAAGAAGAAGGAAGGAAGAAGAGCATAGGAAACATCCTTGTCATCCGGAATGCTTCAGATAAAACAAAAGGATGGAAGATGGCAAGCAAGTTAAAGAAGACACGAGGCTGGAAGAATGAAGGAAGGTGACGTGAAATTATTGATTGCAGATGTGGATCAATTCACACACGAAAAATGGAGTGAGTGTAGAATTAGTCCTCCCTCGCCTTTGATGGCTTTAGTTGTATGAGTCACGAAGCTGTTCCATTGCGGGGAACAAAGCGTGAATCAGAAAAGGAGATGCACCGCTGTCTATCTCCAGAGAGACGAGCTAATTATTTCGTTGTGTTAACGAGATTCAATCCTTCGGCAAAAATACAAGAGGAGGAAGAAAAAGTTGACAGACATGGATGTCCAAGTCGCCGCCACTGTGGTCGACTTTTGCTGCTGTGGTGATATGGTGGATGTCAATCACGACAAGATTAGTCCGACTCAGTTCATATTTACATACGTCAAAAAATCTGATGGGGTCAAAGAGAGTCTCAAATATGAAAACTGTTTAGGGTGATCGTCGGTGATCAATGTATGAAAACCGAGGTTAGGTGGGGTTTTCGATATGATCATTTTGAAGCTTTACTTAGTTCGGAATAGAAAGTTGGACTAATTACATATTACTTCGTATATTTAAATCATTGTGGTTCTTATATTTGATATAATTATATTATGATTCGTATAGTTCTGAAAGTGAAATAAATAATTTTATTTATCATAATATTATCAATTATATTTATGAAAAATATAACATGCGACATCATATGTCGGATCAATACAAAAGTGATGGATAAAAAAATGTTATATTTTCCATCAATACAGTTGATGATGTTATGACAAATTAGATCATTTGTTTCATTTTCAGAATTATATGAATCTCAATGTAAATTTTTCCTTTTGATGATGTTATGACAAATTAGATCACATGATTGAGACAAATATTTCCTTTATCATCTCGGTATCGCAATAATGTCATACAACCTAATCAAAACATGACATAATTCTATAGTCTTCGAAGCTTATCTCATCTTTATCAAATGCTATTTAGTTGTATGATAATGAAGAAAAAGAGTTTGTCCTTTAATCACTAACGTTAAACACTTGAATCCAATCTTAATGACCCAACACTAATTTGGATCCATAATCCGGTTCAGGAGAGTGAAACCCAATCCACATTTGGGCCGGATCAGAATTTTAGAGAACGATTAGGCCCATCAAAGACTTCGGTGTTAAGCGACTCCCTCCTCTCTCGTCCGCTCCGCTTCTTCCACTCCCATGGCTTCTTTAGCCTCGTCTCTCGCGCTCTCTCCATCGCCGGCTAAACTCCGTCCTCCTCTTCCTTCTCTAGGGTTCCTCTCCTCCGTTGCGATCTCCGCATGCCGATCCTTCCAGCCATCTCCCAGGGCCCGGATCTCCCGGCGGACGCTCTCGATTCGAGCGCTGACGCTGGATTTCTTGGGTTCTTTTTTCGAGGGAGGAGGGGATGAGGAGGGTGGTGGCCCCTCGGCGTTCTCCGCCGCTGCTCCTCTTGGGGACAAGGAGGAGCCGCAATGCCCTCCGGGTCTTCGCCGGTATGAGACCATGGCCGTGCTGCGCCCCGACATGACCGAGGACGAACGCCTTGCCCTTATTCAACGATACGAAGAGGTGATCATTCTTTTCTTCCCTTTTTTTCCTTTTCGTTCTCGAATTCGTGGAGATGCTAATTATTCTTTATTAATTTATACGATTTCCTTTTGATTTGTATTCTGTCATCATTTGCCGTTGATAAAGTGGAATAGAGTAAAATGCTAATTTTTGTTAACACCAGAACTTGAACGAAGAAATTTCAAGGTTTTAGATTGACAATCTTCGACAAGCTCGCTAGATGTGCCAACATTTGAGTTTTGCTTTTTAGGAAGATATCATTTAACAGTAAGTTTTGGTTGATTTTAATTGTTCGTATAGTGGGTTGCATTTGCAGGAAGTACATTAGACTAATGTAAAAGTAATGAACAGTGACTAAGTGCATAAAGCACGAGGAAAAAGTTGTTGGTGTGGTAGTATAGCTATGTTGGCAATTTTTGAAAAGCTAGATAGAGGACCAAGGTTTGAGGTCTTTAACAAATACTATTCAACCATAATTTTTGGTTGATTCTAATTGTTCATAGAGTGGATTGAATTTGCAGGGAGGCAACTAAAGTTATGAACAGAGACTAAATGCAGAAAGCATAAGGAGAATATGCTTTTGATGGAAATTGTAGTTGTACCATACCGTACCATACTGTATGGTACAGCACCGGTGTACTAGTGTACCAAGCTTTGCTCGGTATGATATGATACGGCATACCGAGCGGTACGCTTAAAAAAATTATAAAAATTAATTTTAGTACCAAGCTATATTAAATATAAAAACTGCAGCAATATAAAATTTCCATTAAGGCCACATTTGTGTGCTTTGCGCTAGCCTTTATATATTGGGCCAAACCCTATCAATAGTTGTAGAAGAGGGAGCGAAGAGCTGCGGCATCGAGGGAACGATGGCAGTGGGCGCTGCAGCGAAGAAGCGAAGAAACAAGAAGAAAAAGAAGAAGAAGGATAAGTGGGGGCAGCTAGTGGTCGCGCCCGTGGAGGACACTGCGAGATGCCGAAG